GCTTTTGGATGTAGAGTTCTATAGATGCCTGTTAGGTCCATCTGTTCTAGTGTGTTGTTCAGTGCCTCTGTGTCCTTACTTATTTTCTGTCTGGTGGATCTGTCCTTTAGAGTGAGTGGGTTAAAGTCTCTCAAAATGAATGCATTGCATTCTATTTCCTCCTTTAATTCTGTTAGTATTTTTTCACATATATTGGTGCTCCTGTATTGGGTGCATATATGTTTATAATGGTTATATCCTCCTTCTTTCTCTCTTGTTACTTTCTTTATTTTGAAGTCTAGTTTGACTGATACTAGTATTGCAACACCTACTTTTCTCTCCCTGTTTTTGCATGAAATATCTTTCTCCATCCCTTGACTTTTAATCTGTGCATGTCTTTGGGTTTGAGATGAATCTCTTGTAAGCAGCATATGGATGGGTCTTGCTTTTTTATCCATTCTATTACTCTGTGTCTTTTGATTGGTGCATTCAGCCCATTTACATTTAGGGTAATTATTGAAAGATATGTACTTATTGCCATTGCAGGCTTTAGATTCATGGTTACCAAAGGTTCAAGATTAGCTTGTTTAGTACCTTACTGTCTGACTTAACTCGCTTATTGAGCTGTTATGAACAGTCTGTTGATTATTTCTTTCCCTTCTTTTTCCTTCTCCTCCATTTTTCATATGTTGCATGTTTTGTTCTGTGCTCTTTTAGGAGTGTACCCATCTAGAGCAGTCCCTCTAAGATACCCTGTAGAAGTGGTTTGTGGGAGGCAAATTCCCTCAACTTTTGCTTCTCTGGGAATTGTTTAATCCCTCCTTCATATTTAAATGATAATTGTGCTGGATACAGTATCCTTGGTTCAAGGCCCTTCTGTTTCATTGCATAAATTATATCATGCCATTCTCTTCTGGCCTGTAAGGTTTCTGTTGAGAAGTCTGATGATAGCCTGATGGGTTTTCCTTTCTAGGTGACCTTTTTTCTCTCTCTGGCTGCCCTTAATACTCTGTCCTTGTCCTTGATCTTTGCCATTTTAATTATTATGTGTCTTGGTGTTGTCCTCTTTGGATCCCTTCTCTAGGGAGTTCTGTGTGCTTCCATAGTCTGAGCAACTATTTATTCAGTTTGGGGAAGTTCTCAGCAATTATTTCTTCAAAGACACTATCTATCCCTTTTTCTCTCTTCTTCTTCTTCTGGTACCCCTATAATGCGGATATTGTTCCGTTAGGATTGGTCACACAGTTCTCTTAATATTGTTTCATTCCTGGAGATCTTTTTATCTCTCTCTGCATCAGCTTCTATGTGTTCCTGTTCTCTGGTTTCTATTCCATCAATGGCCTCTTGCATCTTATGCATTCTGCTTATAAATCCTTCCAGAGATTGTTTCACTTCTGTAATATCCCTCCGGACGTCATCCCTTATCTCTTGTATATTTCTCTGCAGCCCTGTCAGCATGTTTATGATTTTTATTTTGAATTCTTTTTCAGGTAGACTGGTTAGGTCTGTCTCTGCAGATCTCTCTCAGGTGTTGTCTGAACTATCTTGGACTGGACAAAATTTTTTTGCCTTTTCATGGTGATAGTGGTGGCTGTAGGCCAGTTGCAGGTGTGTCAGCTGGGAAAAGAAAGTCCTTTCCTGTTTGCTGGATGCCTTGCCCTTCTCTGCTGCCTGTGTCGGTTACCCGCACTCCTGGAGCAGCCACAGGTTTAATCCCCTACGTTGCTGTGGGCGGGATCTCCGTCAGAGCAACGTGGGTCTCCATCAGAGCAGCGCGGAGCCCTGCGAGGAGTGGTGGGCATGCCAGGTGCGCTCCTCTGTAATAGCGGCACCCCTACCGGGCAGCTGTGTGCCAACAGAGGCCTTTGGGTCTGGCCCGGGTGGCTGTGCATCGGGCTGGGATTCTGGTCAGCTGCTGGGAGTGTGGCTGCTCCCTCTGGCTCCGCTGCAGGTGCATGCGGGCCTCTCCTGCACGGTCCTCTCCTGGGCTCCTCTGGTGCCACTGCTGTGCATGTGGGCTGCACCCGGGCTGTTCGGTTGCCACCACAGTGGGCTCCCATGAGCCCTTCTCTGGCGCCGCCGGCGCATGCAATCTGCTTCTGGTTCCCCGGCACCGCCGTCCCCGGCGTGCACTGCCACTGTCCTGCTACTGGGCAGGTGTGTCAGGGTCCACGCCAGTTGGAGGAACAACTGGCAGGCTGCTTAGTGCCATGAGGGGCTTCAGAGCTGCACTGTCACCCCGGGGTTTAGGACACCTAAAGTTCCCTGGGATTCCCAGCTGCTGGCTAAGTGTGCCGGGACGACTTCATCCAGCTGTGGGGTCCCTGTCTCTTTAAGACTTGCAGAAAGCACTCACTTTTCTTTAGTCTCAGGGGTGCTGGTTGCAGGGACCTGCTCACATGTTTTGCTTTTCCATTTCTCTAATATCCAGCACCCTGTGCACCTTGTGTCTGCGCTCTGGGTGCGGATTTCTAGAGCTGGTTGTTTAGCAGTCCTGGGCTTTCCCTCCCTCCCCATTCTGACTCCTTTCTTCCTGCCAGGTTCTGGGGTGGGGGAGCGTTTGGGTCCTGCCTGGCCACAACTTGTATCTTACCCCCTTCATGTGATGTTGAGTTCTCACAGATGTAGATGTATCCTGGCTGTTGTTCTGCATGCACTGGTGTCTCTTTTAAGAATAGTTGTATTTATTGTATTTTCATAAATATGTATGTTTTGGGGAGGAGATTTACACTGAACTTCTCATGCTGCCATCTTCCTGTGATCCCACAATAAGGTTTTTTTTTAATTAAAAAATTTTATCAATGTCAGACAAAATTAAAGTCTCCAGAATGCCTTATTTCTTCTTCTTCTAATCTTCCAAATTTTGTTCCAACTAAAGTTTTAGTTTCAGACTTACTAATTTTTCAAACTCATAAAGAGCACTTAAAAAATGGACTATGTACTAAGCCTTTAAAATACTTGATAACTTTCATGTTAAGAAATAATAGCATAATAAAGAGCACCCACAATTCATAAGGGAAACAACCCAACAAAATAATGAACAAAGGATATATACAGATACTTTATAGAAGTAATGCAAATGAACAGTAAATTTTCAAAAGTTGTTTGATTTAACTAATGAAAATTAAATTAACACAGTAATGAAATATAATTTTTGCCTCTCTGGCAAAATGAAAAAAATTATACAATATTGACACATGAGTAGACTCATAGACACTGAGAAGTGGCTGGTGTTTATCATCGGGGAGGTGTTAGGGTATGTGAGTGGGGAGGGTGAGAGTGATAAAGGGACACAAAAATTCTCAATCATAATATAAGTTGGTCACAGGGATAGTAGTAGAGCATGGAGAATATAGCCAATGATCCTGCAGCATCTTTCTATGTTGACAGATAATAACTGCATTAGTGGGGGTGAGGATTTAAGAATATGGGTAACTGTTGAACCATTGTGTTGTATACTTGAAATCAATATAAGATTGTATATCAACAATACTTTAATTAAAAAATATTGGCACATGAATAGAAAGGGATTATATAATATAATCGCTAATGGATTATAAATTGATACAATCATTTTGGAAGGGTATTTGACAGTATCTTTGAAATTTTGAATGTAGTTGAAGGCATACCCTGTGATCTGTAAATGTAATCTAGGATACTATTCTACAAAAGTACATATACGTATAAAAAAATGTGTGTACAAAATCATTTATATACTATTTAAACTGAAATATTAACTTTTCCTCAATAAAGAAATGATTATGTAAATTATATGATGGAATGCCATACAGACATTAATAAAAACTGTATTACAGACATAAAAGGTGTTTAGTGGAAAAAAAAAAGTTCCAGTGTAACATGACCCTCTTTTTAAAAACAAAACAGAAGAGCTCTGTAAATTCCAGACTCTGAATGTCTAGATCTATAGATATAGCTATATCTAATCTATGTTGATATGCCTTATAGGCATAGAAACTGTTAGATTTTCACTTCTTTATAAAATTCTGTGTTTGAATTTGTCATAAAATTATAGCATGCATTATTTTTTGTAATAAAACTAATGCATATTTTTAAAATGAAATAACAAAATAATTTTAATGGAGTAAAATAAGTTCCTAAAATATTCTACCTATTTATTTGTTCCCTGTAATGGTTAATTGTATGTATCAACTCAGTTAGACTATGACACTCATATTCATTCAACACTATTCTAGATATTACTGTGATGGTATTTTTTAGATAAGATTAAGATTTAAATCATTACACCATAATGGGGATGGGCCTCATCCTCAGCTGAAGGCCTTAATAGAAAAAGATTGACCTCTCCTGAGCAAGAAGGAATTCTGCCAGCAGGCTGCCTTTGGACTTGAACTGCAACTCTCCCAGCCTGCCAGTCTACCCTGCTTTTTGACCTTGCTAGTGCCCACAGTCATGTGAGCCAATTCCTTAATACCTCTCTCTTTATATATAATCTCTCTCTCTATCTGTATCATCTACATCTCCTTTTGGTTCTGTTTCTCTGCAGAACCTTGACCACTACATTCTCCTATTACATAAAGTGAAGCTTATGGTGTAATGGATGTTCATGGATGGAAAATTACAGCTGAATACTGACAACCTCTACTACTAGTGAATATCTTAGGGCAAGTTACTTAAAATTTTTAAGTCCTCATTTGTTAAGATGTGGTGGACCTATCCACTTCATAGGGATGGTGTAAGGATTAAGTGAGGTAACATATGTAATATATCCGGGGCATAGTATACACTTCTGAATCGTCCTCTCCCATTGTGTGATATACATTGCAAATATGAGATTTGTTTATTTTATAGAGTTTTCAACAGAAACCTAGAAGGAGGTGACATAACCAGAGGTTCTATTGTTTCAACAACTGGATACAAGGTTACGCATGCTAGGAAATTCCTATCAAATTCAGGTGATGGATTACATTGAATGGCCTCCTTGTTTTTAGCAATTATTTTGAATGTGCGTATTTGAATGATACAGCATTTAAGAGACTCACTGGGATGCCATATCGGGTCCGGTAGAGGGTCCTCATTGCGACACTTGTTCCACACAGACAGCATTCATTCATGTCAGCTGCAACTTGACACGCGAGGCACAGGAAACAAAATGTTCCACAAAGACCTGGACACATGAAAGCAGAGGCCCAAGTTACTCCACTCTACCCCCGCCACAGCTGAAAGGTAGTTTGCTTTCATGAACGGCAGTCCAAATCATGGGGCCTTTGCTCTATAACCTGCTGCTGAGTTCACCACAGTGTTTTGCATCAGCTTCTCCCTTTCCCCACCCAATCATTTTGGGAATGACTGCACCTTGGAAAATGTGTATTCTTTTTGTACTGCTGTCTTCATCCATTTATTGAATGATTCACTGAACCCTAGCCATGTTCTAGAGGTTATCCTCAGTACTGAAAATGCCTCTGCCTGAAGTCTAGTAGCAAAGTCGGATAATATGAAAATGTCAGAGGGTCACCCAAAGAAAAGGGGGCTCCAAGGCTCTGAGAAGGAAATGCTGCTTGATCCAAATACTGACAGATGATTGGGATTTTTACAGGCAAACAAGAGGGAAAAGAGCCTTTTTGAGGTAACCTGTCACGTCTTGGCAATGGTTGGTGTTCATTCAGTATGGTTGGGGCCCAGGAGGGGATGGGGATGAGCTGGAGGAAAAGGCAGGTTGGGGGCTGGATGATGAAGTGTGAATGCTCAGAGATGGTTGTCAAAGTCGTGAGGAATCACTGAAATATTTTAAGAAGGGAGAATGATTGAGTCAGATCTGCAATTAAGAAATCCTGCCATGAAGTAATTAAGCTCAAATTAGAAGTTATAATTCACTCGCTTGAGTAAAAAATACTAAGGGCTAGAGGATCAGAATGTTCATCTTTTGAGGGTTTTAATAATGCAGTCTAATTATCACTACCGTTTACAAAAGTTGATCTAATGTCCTGAGATGTGTAAGTCATTACCCCAGGTCATCCACTAAGACAATGAGAATGAATAAACAAACCCAATTTCTTGTTCCATTTCCTGCTAATTATTTCCTTGTATGCTTTTCAATGTAATTATTAACCTGATACCAAATCTTAATTTCAGTGGTAGGTTACAGGTTAATGTAGTTTCTTTCCTTATCTAAGAACACTATATAGACTTGAGACAGGCAAATAAACCTCAGAGACAATTTTTTTGTAGGCAGATTTGTTTGTTTCTTGGCTAGTGCTGAGAACTAAGCACTTTGATCCTCTCTGACACCCCAGTCTCACTTACTTTTGCCCAAGCTTAGAGAGATCTCATAAAAAGAAAACAAAGCAATCAGAGATATTTTTCCCAATCAGAAGCTAATTGCCTTTAGAATGCTTTATTCTCAGATGAATAAAAAACTTAAATGTATAAATCAAAATAATTCTTTTCTGAGCCGATAGATGAAAACTATCCCTTGTGTACTGGGCACAGCATAACTACAAAGTAATGAGTTTCATCTATGTGTAACTTTTAAAAATCAAGCTAAACTTGAAATGTCTCCTTTAATTTAACGTATGGTCTATTTATAACCATTAAGCCAGTCCTGTTCTTAGCTTTTTTACTCTTATCTTAACTCCAGAACTTACTTTAGGAGTAAGACTATTCTGTGAAGAATTCAGTTATAACCAACACAGGCCTATTTTGTAACATACCATTGCCTGACATGCAGGGTGCCCTGTAATACGTCAGGAACCTCTACTACAATAAGGGAGAAATGAAGGAGCATTTGGTCTTTGGTAATTCACCCCATGTCAGTCGTGGGGGCATTCGCCCTCCCCCTGCACCCCTGCCCCCACCAAACCCGCTCCCCTTGCTTACAGACTCCACAGTCACTGAAGCAGTCACACATGCCCGTCTGCCAGTTGGAGGTCTGGGGCATGGAGCCACTCATGGGCTGAGTTACAACGACCACCGGTGACTGAGATGGGGCTTGCATTTCCGATGAGGGTCTTCTTAAATGGTGTCGTCTGAAAAGGAAAAAGTTGGTATAAGTAGCTTCCAGGTTATTCCTGGAAGGCTGTTTTGAGGTACTCTGCTCCACAGGGGAGGGAGGCAATTATGATGAGGTTGCTTGCTCATAATTTCTATCTCTACTCCCCAAAGGGCAGAGGCCCCTGAGGGGTTGGAAGCCACTGAACTGGTAAAATCAACAGAAGCTTCTCTTGGAGTGAAGGAGTGGAACAGTGTTTGCAATGTTTTTAGACAGGTACCTGGTACCCACCAAGAAAGGAAACAAATGGCCAACATGTTTTGGGGAGGAATTTGGTTCCGAGATGCACGGAAGTCAGAGTACAAGGTGAGGAAGGAATTCATTAAAGTGAGAGCAGCAGGGAAGGGCAGCTGCTTTGCTGGCAGCAAAGAGCAAGGAAGAGCAGAGGGAGGAAAGAGAAGCTCATTCAACCCCTGCTCAGCATAGGGCAGATCCCTTGCCGACTCCTAAATCCAGGGTACCCTAGTGTCTAGTGTCTGCTTAAATCTGCACAGAATGGGAACTAGGACCCTAACACCCCAGGATTTGGGGGAGACACAGAGTGCTGGATGGAATGAGACTGTGTTCTGAAAACTTCTCAAAGGCAAAGAAAGGAGATTTTTCAGGCAGGCTACTTAAGAGCATGCTCTTACAGCTGCAGTCCTGCCTGGGGCTACCCATATGACAGAAACTTGCAAGCCCAAATCAGAGCTCTCAGTAGCCTCTCTCTGCTTATCTACAGTAGAACAGAGACAGAGTGAAGACTAGTGCTTAAGCCTGGAGAACAGAATGAAATAGGAAAGTAATTAAGATGCTTACCACTGGAAGAAAGCAGAGACATCATATAATAAGTTGAGCAGTGAGAAGTTTGTTTAAGGCAAAAAGGTACACACTCGAAGAAAGGGGGTTGCGGGCAACCTCAGAGAAGAGGCACACTTAAAAAGCTGGGGATTCTGTCTTTTAAGGATTTTCAAGAGTGGGATAAAGGATCAGGGGTGTAGACTCATCATGCAGTTTCACTATGTCTATCTCTGGTCAGAGACACTATGTCATTATCCATAGTCAGTCCTCCAGGTAATTTTGTAAGATAAACTTAACACAAGGAATTTATTGATCCTGTTCTTCCCAAGATAGTAGTTACCCCTAAGCACTGGGAACATATCAGTTAAAACTGCTTGCCTTGCCTAAAGATATATTGTTGGCTGATTACCAAAGAATATGTTAGGAATATAACTTCCCTTCTTTCTGGTTTATAAAATGGAATCTTAGCCTTAAGATGGAGTCCCTCCTGTACTGTTTATATCCCAGCATTTTTAGAAAATTAATTATGATGCTTGTCCCATGTCTCTGCCATGTCTTACTGGCATTCCTTTGACTAGACACAGTCTCAAGGTCATCCCAGATTCAAAACACATGGAATGAACTCACATTGCAAAGGGCATTAACTCTGAGTTCTTTCTGATTCTCTGGTTTTATCTGGTTAACTCTGAGTCCCATTTAGTGGGCTTTACTGGCCTTTTTCTGCTCAACACTGTGATAGCTAGGAAATAGCGAATTGCAGAAAACAGGCTATGCTAAAATTGCTCCATCCTAAGCTTTTGTGCACCTACAGCCCCTCTTGCTCCTTTTAATGGTCCCTTTTGTTTTGGGCTTGTTTTTGTTTAGCAGTTGTAAAGAAAAAAACTGCCCTATTTTCTGTCTATTCACAGAGTACTCCACTTCTGACCACCACATGTGTAGTACTTTTCCCTACACCAAGCAATTCTGCAACACCAGCTGGTGTGGCCTACAATTCAGCTCAATTCTGACATGATCTATAGTAGATGCATCATATACCACAGGTTAAGGGCTCAGTCCCCCAAGACAGAGTTCTTCTCCCCCACTTTAGGCACCAATTGCAAATCCAGGTTATTTGTTTCTGTGCTTCTGACTTACCAGCTATATATAGATATATATATATCATGACCCCTTCCTTGGATTCAATTAAATTGCTGGAGGAACTCACAGAACTCAGAAAAACAGTTTACTTACTATATTATTATATTATCTTATATTATTTTATATTATATTATAAAGATATTAAAGGATACAAATGAACAGCCAGATGAAGAGATACATAGGGTAAGGTGTTTGTATGGAGTTTGGGGTGTGCCACCCTTCTGACACCCCAGCCCAAAAGCTCTCTGAACCCTGCCTGTCCTTCTGAATTTTCCTGGGGGCCTCATAGGCACGATTGATTAAATCATTGACCATTGGTGATTGAACTCAATCTCCAGCCTCTTCTCCCCTTCCTGGAGATCTGGCAGGTGGGACTTAAAGTGCCAACCAATCACATGGTTGGTTCCCCTGGCAACCAGCTCCCATCCTCCAGGGCTTTGCAAAAGTCACTTCATTAGCATAAACTCCTCTGTAGTTAAGAGGGGCTTGTTATGAATAACAAGACACCTTTATAGCTCTTGTCACTTAAGAAATTCCAAGATTTTAGAAGCTCTGGGCTGTGAACGGGGCTGAAGGTCAAATATACATTTGTTATTAAAATCACTGTATCACAGCTGTCCTTTCCAATCTTCCTGCATCTATGCTGGTCCTTTACTTCTACTTTACCTGGAGCCTGTATCCCTTTAGCTTGACAGACTCTGTGTTAGGGGCAAGCCCTGGTTATGTGTCACAGCAAAGGCTTTTATGAAGTGCATTTTCTTAGGTTAATCCTCATTCTTTCCATCATAGAGGCAGTATAGCATTATGGAACATGGATTAGATTTGGAGTGAGAATATCTTTGCTCAAATCCTGGTTTCCAAAATTGTGTGATCTTGGAAAGTCATTTAACTGCCTATTCATTTAATCAGTCATTTTATTTCCATTTATTAATCTGTATAACAGACCCACCCTGTAATAATCTGTATGACCTGCATGCCTCACATGCTTATTGAGATTTTTAAGTGAGATAAAATTTGGGGATGAGTTTAATGAACATTAAACAATCAGATAAATATAAGGGAGAGTGATTATAATGTATATTTAAAAAAACACACACAAAAAACATAGTAAGGACATTTATTCTGACAATTTTCTTATACATTTATTAGCAATCATATCAGCTAATAATCATGGAGATTCTATTCTACATCAGGCACTGTACTATGTACTAGATTCACATTGTCCACTTAATCTAACAATAGCCCTGCAAAGTAGGAATTATTATCTTCATTGAGTTGATGTAGAGATGGAGGCTCAGAGAGTTTAAGTAAATTGTGAAATTCGAATCCTTCTCTGGTTCACTCCACGGTCCCTACTCCTCCCCTTGCCCTCCAGCTTTAGAGCCCCGCTCCATCCTAGTGCTTGTAGTGTGGCTTTGGCATTGTTTGTAGTGAGCTCCTTGAGAATTGGAACCCTCTTTTCATCTTTAGTCCGTTAGCACCAAGTTCAATGTTAGGCTTATTGAAGATACTTTTCATTGTCTTGTTAAATCAAGCACATATTAAATGCCCTATTCCCTTACAGTGTGTTAGCATGGGGATGTAATACATTTTCACTTCAGAATTCAGGACATGTTTTTAAAAGGCACAGAAGGAAAACACTAAAATGGAAAATACAGTGACTTCAGATACTCAGGCCTTGTGATTATACTACTTGCTTTCTTTGCTGCTGCCTGATCATAAATTGCCGAATGAAGCCAATAAGGGCTTTAAAATTTACTCAGCTGGATTGTGTTTCTTAATAGTATATCCACACAACAGAGTGTTATGCAGCTATCAAAAAAATAATGAGGACAATCTTTATAAACTGATATGGTATGATTTCCAATATACTGTTAAGTGAAAAAAGTGAAGCACCATAAAGTATCTATTGTATGATATCCTTCATGTAAATAGTAAAGGTGTATAACAAGACACACATATATCTGTTTAATTGTGCAGGAAGAACTATAGGAAGAATAAAACAGAATTTAAGGAAATTTATTACAGTCAGAGGAAAAATGGGGTGGAGAGAATGGAAGAATAGAAATAAAGTAGTAGGGATGGGTGACACTTCCCTTTGTATAGCTCTGACTCCAAACAATGTTAATATTTCACATGTCAAATGAACACATAAGTGAATAATTAAAATCAACCAGAATGTGGAAGACACCCAAAATGCAATATAAACAGTTACAAATGAACCTAATTGTATTACAACTAATATTAAAACCACACTGAAGGGAGTGGGGAAGAAAAATTTAATGACAGTAACTTTGGAAACAGTATTTTGATTATTTAATATAAGGCTAAAGACAAATATAATTTATATAAATACCATATTCTAGTTAGCAATCTTTGTCACAGGGAGTATGGATTAGCAACTCAGGAAATTCTATCTTCCTATTTATCGATCTATCTATCTACATACACACATACATACATACATACATACATACATACAATAGACTTGAACAAATAAGCATGTAAATACATTGTATAATGAAATTGAGGTTTTTCACTGTCAGAAATATTACAAGTAAGGAAAGGAGAAAGCTAGTATGAATCCTGTGTTGTTGGATTGGAATCAGAAATATGAACTCTTTACTTACACACACACACACGCATAGATGTAGATATGTATGTATGTGTATATATATATTTCCCAGCTCTGTCCATTGAGAGGACCTAGAAGCAGCAAAAAAACCCAGTATTAATGAGGATACCTAATGCTGAAATCTTGGTTTCTAAATACCATTTTGTGATTAAAAAGTGCTCAAAAATGGATTAGAGACAGGACCTCAGAGCCAACTTTATGGCTCTGCCAATGGCCAAAGCTAGGATGGTTTGAACAGCAAAATAATGTTAATAATGGATTATAACTCATAGACCAAAATAACTATTCAATATTCCATTAAAGAAGAGTTTAAAATGCTGGAGAAGAGATAGCACTTTCTTATGACAGAATTCCCATTAATGAATACAGGAGGAATGATGGAAATATAAGATCACCATTTCACAAACACCACATAAAAATTGTTG